TGTAGGGAGCCCTCAGAAAGCAGAAGAGGCGACGACGCTGTGGGGGAGACGGAAAAGCCTCCCCCACACGCCGACAGGGTCGGCGGATCTTCGGGGGATAATGGTCCCAGCGCTTCATGCCTTCAAGACAAATTGGTTCCAGCGCGCATTGTGTACAAGGGGCGGTGGTTTCAGCGCCCCACGGCGTCGGTCCCAGTGCCCAGAATTTTAAAGGGGGCAGTGGTTGCAGCGCCTCTTGCTTTCAAGACATATGGGCTCCAGCGCGCAATTTTTACGAGGGGCGGTTGTTCCAGCTGGCCCCGCGGCGAAGGTTCCAGCACGCGTGTTTTACAAGGAACAGTTGTTCAGACAGTGGTTTCAGCAGCGCACGGCGTGGGTTCCAGCACCTACGGCGTGGGCTCCAGCAATACATTTCACTGAGCGCGAGCGTTCCAGCAGCCCACGGCATAGCTGGCGGGGCATCCAAAAACGGACGCCCTGTGGTGTGCGCGGCGGACTTGGCGGGGATGTGACGGCCGTCGTTTCGGGCGGCAGGTAGAGCGATCCAAGCCCAACCACCAGTAACCCATGCCCCGCTTGGTCAAACATGGCACCACCATTTTGTTCACCTAACTGCAGGACGGAAAATCTGTTCAAAACCGAGGCTTGCCGTGGCCAGACAAGCCCCTTTGTTCCACACTCTGTGCCCCTTATGACGGTAGCACGATGAGTGCACGTGTCCCCCCGCACGGGTCCGAGCAGGTGGGTTTCGGAAGATCGCGCCGGATCGTCACTGCGTCGCGGGCGCGGCTTCCGACTCGGAACCCGATTTTGGCGTCGCCGAGCCAGCGGCGACGCGGCGCCGCCGTGCGGCCCCGTGGTTGCTCGGGCCCCACGTCGGGCGGCCTCCGGTCGAGAGGTCAGGCGCCCGCGTCGTGGACTGGACAGCTGGGCCACTCGGGGGCGAAGCTAGGCGGGGATAGGCTCAGAAAGGGAGTTCGGCCCCCAGTCGCCCATGCATCGCCGATGTGGGCCCGATAGGCCCACCTCGCCAAGGACCGCGCGGCTTCTCTGTGGGCGGGTTATCGCCCATCCATGGGCGATGCGTTGCCAATTCAATCTCCACGCCCCCCCCATAGCCAGTCGCCCCCCTGAGGCTGTCGCCCCTAACGCTCCCCCTCAAAACCACTGCCTCTGCCCCAAAAGCGTTTGGCGATCTGGACGGTTTCGCCCTTCAGAGTGCGGGCTCGAATCAAATTTTCCAGCTCAACGGAAGTTCGATCCCCAGATATCCGGCGGCTTCTGTTTTCTTTCGATGGCCTCTCGGCCCCTTCTTCGGAGCCGGCTGTTTCCCCTCAGCAGATGCCATGAACATGGCCGATGCAGAGAGGGCCTTCTTTTGTTCATCGAAGGAGCGGGGGCCGCCTACGGAAGGTCCGCAGGAGCGACTGGAAATCCAACGACGAGTGCCGTCTAGGGCCCCTTTCCCCGCTTCCGGGGGGGTCCGAAAGGGTACAGCAACAATGGGTACGAAGGCCAAAGTTCTTGTTTATTTTGGACCGGAATCGCGGTCGGCGTCACCGCGGATGTTGTTTGTTTCAGACAGCCGCCCACCCAATTGCGGCCGCTGCTGTTTCTAGGCGATATTTGCTGTTGGGTAGCGCCCATTGCGTGGGTACGAACCCTTGACCAGACCAGGACATTGCTGGCCAGGGCTCTGACAAGCCCACCCAGAGGAAAATAATAGTGAATGATGCTTCGACCCACGGCTGCAGTTTTCTCGGGCGCGCCAGCGCCCTGATTTTCTCAAAATTTACCTCTTGTAGGAGTCCTAGCTCATCATAAGTAATTTGTCTTTAGGCTCCCTCCCTTTTCCAATGGCTCCCCCCTTTTCCAATGGCCCCCCCCCCCTTATTTCCAATGGCGCCCCCCCCTCCCCTCGCCTTTTCGCCAATGGCTCCCCCCCTTATTTCCAATGGCACCCCCCAGCTATTTCCACTGGCGAGTCCTATGGATTCCTATGGATTCCTATGAATCGTATGGATTCCTACGCCAATGCCTACATGCCACTGCCTATGCCTGTGGAATTATGAGCTGTTTGAGCTTAATCATCTCTTGTACTGTCTGTATAGTTACTTGTCATACACGTTTATGTTCGCACGTGTGCGCGCATCCGCTGCTGTTTTGACCCAGGCACCTTTCGACACCATGTCTCTCTTGAGAGAAAACATCCCTCGCTTTCGCCACTGGCCGTCCTTGACGCGTCAGTGGTAGCGGAGCGGTCGGTCTTCCCCGGCCGTCTCCAGGGACCGCCGCCATGCCGGCGGACGGGCAGCCTCAGGCTGCCAGCAGTGGCGATCGAGATAAGGATGAGTTTCACGGAGAACAAGGCCAGAGAGGCCGTGAGGCCCCAGATGGCGCGCCCCAGGGCGCGACAGGCAGCAGCAGCAGTTTCACATCGGCGCAGGCGCTCGAGCTGAGGAGCATCCTGCGCGAGGAGATCAAGGCGGCTCTGGCCGTCTCGGGTACCGCGGGCCCCATGTCGGAAGGTGCGGCTCAACCGGCCCGTGACTCAGCATCCGGATTCGACCCGTGGGAAGAGCTCGGCAACGATCCCTGGCGAGAAGGATCCAGGCGAGGCGTCGGAGAGAATGAGGGAGCGCGATGGGCAGGCAGAGGCTGGTGGTCAGTCTCAGCCGACGCGCCGGAGGATTCTCAGGACGACGCGGAATTGGGCCAGAAGAAGTGGGGCGCCAGAGACTGGCGCAGCAGCAGCAGCAGTGCTTGGCGACAGTCCCCAGAGGACTGGTCGTCTTCGTGGTGGGAGAAGCCCGACCTGAGCGACCCCGACGCATGGTTGGGATGGAGCGAGTACCGCCTGTGGCGCCGGGGTATACGACGCTGGTTGGCCGGGACAGGTGTCTCCGTCGGCCGTCGGGCGGACAAGATCCTGAAGGTGCTGGACCTAGACTTGCGCAAGAAGTTCGAGGATCTATCGGACGACATTCTCGTCTCCGAGGCCGGCCCGCAGGCGATCCTCGATCGCTTGGACGTACTCAGCTGCCAGAGGCAGGATGACGAGATGAGAAGAGTGGGCCGCGAATGCTTGTTCGGGTTTCAACGCCGGCAAGGAGAGACGCTGAGCGTTTACGCGGCCAGGATGGACCAGGTGTTCGACCGCCTCTCCTCGCAGGGGCTCGAGCTGAACAGCAAGTGGCGACACCTGTTCATCGAGGAAGGAGTGGGTCTAGACGACTCCCAGAAGCAGATGCTCAAGATTCTCAGCAAGAATTCAGGAGAGTACCAGGATCTGCTCCACGCCATTCGAGAGATGGATATGCAGCGGAATGAGAGCCTGACTCAGGGCAAGAAGACTTTCGCAGAGTTCGAGCAGACGTCAACCCCCACGTTCTACGACGATGAGGATGCCAGCAGCGTCTCGTCCATGGATTCAAGTCAGGAGCAGACTGTGCTGGTGACGCTAGACGAGGCGGACCTCTCGGAGCTGGAAGTTCCCACCATTTTGGCAGAGCTCGCTTCCGAGAGGCGCAAGACGTGGAAGGAGAACAAGGATTTCAAGAGGCGGCTGAAGGTAGACCGGAAGTATTTCCCAACGCCGCCTCCTGCTCACCCAGGAGCCCGTCCTCAGCGGCCACGCCGTGGACAGGACGGACAGCATCGGCCTCGCAAGGCGAGGTTATCCCCTCAGCAGTTGATGAAGGTCACGAAGTGTCACAAGTGCCATCAGAAGGGCCACTGGGCCAAGGAGTGCCCGAACCCTCCAGCGCCAGGTCCTCCGGGGACACCGCCGAAGTAGGGATTCTTTGTCTTGACGAACGGCGGGTCCTCCTCGTCTGGCCTGGTGCTGATGACGACGTTCTATCAGAACCCCTTGGAGGCACTGATCGAGAAGGCTCGGACATCGGTCGCCTCCACCCCCCCATCCTCTGAGCTGGCTCCGCAGGTTTTTCTGATTACACCCGGGGGGGGGATCATTGTAGATACGGCGGCAGGCCAGGGGCTCATAGGCCCTGTGTCCCTCTCGAAGCTAGACGAGAGGCTCGCCGCGCTCGGTTTTAGGGTCCCCCGGGTGCCCAGTGCCAATAAACATGCCCAGGGAGTGGGGGGCCGCGCCAGTGTTTTGACCGGTCTCCTAGTCCCTACCGGGATAGAGGGCCGTCTCGGAGTCATGGAACTCGATGCGATCAGCGAAGAAGTTCCAGCTTTGATGCCAATTGGCATGCAGGAGGCCTTAGGAGCTGTTATAGACCTTCCAGAAGAGAAGGTCACCTTCAAGAATTTGGTCACAACGACGCCGTTGAAGGCACTTCCGTCGGGACATCGGACCATTCGAATTGACAAGTTAGGCTCTCCCGACGATTTTCACGTTCCAGAGTCGGTGTCGAGCAGGTTCGGTGTCTCGAAGTCTGATTTTGTGCTGCAGCCTGTTTCGCAGTATAAGGCGTCGATGAGAGACGACGGGGACAGCGCCGCCTGGACGACGTCGAACGACCAGTCGGGGGAGCACGGCGAGGGTAGATCGAGGGTCCCGGGTCCAAGCCAAGGGTCCAGGGATCCAGTCCAAGATCGGCGAGAGTCGTTCCCTCACGAGCTGGTCGAGATTTCAGCCTATTCAGCACTTCCAGCAGATGCCGTACCATGTCCAGACACGGTTCCAGCCTTCCCAGCGTGGATATCAGCTCCAGCTCCGACGTATCCAACATCAGTACCGTACGATATAACAGGCCGTGGGGAGCAAAAGGGGTCAGAAAAGGAGATTCGCGTTAGCAACGGCCCGGACGCAGCTCGAGAAAATACGCCAGAACGTTCCAACGCGTCAAACGTTCCTCAAAACCACTGCGCCTCCGCAGCGTCCCGGTCCGTTTCGTTTTGCTCAAACCTCCAACCCATCTCGGTTTGTGATTCCCTTCAGAGTTCCACTCGGAGTTTACTGGGAGATACCGCACGTGGGCGGCATGACAGACCAACATTATGTCCCGACCGGCCGAGATGCGCCGGAGGGAATGCAGATGAAGCACCTCCGCTGGGTCCACGTGGTCGCGCAGAGCCTCAGGATAGAGGAAGCGCTCAACCTGTCGCTTCTAGACATGAGCCGCACCGGGCGACTCTGGCCGGTGGCCTTCACTCGCAAGCAGCGCCAGTTCACGATCCAGATGCTAAAGTGTCGTCGCGATCCGCTGAGGCGCAGAGTCGGGGCCAACGCGAGCGCGACCTGGATCAAGTGCATCGACTGCGACCTGAGGCTGGCCTACTGGAATCGCCCAAAGATCGAGGTGCAGCCCCACCTCCTGGCGATCAAGGACGATCCGAACCAGCGCAGCGCGGCGATGCCGAACCTCCGCCGCTACAACAATGGCCAGGACGACAAGAAGGAGCTCTTGATCAAGCTGGTCAAGACCGACACCTCCAGGAGTCCGGCCGCGGTGAGGGTGCCGGCCCGCTCGGAGGCCACGTCGAGGCCTTCCTACGCACCGATGCAGGTGGACGAGCTGGCCCAGGCGGAGCGGAAGAGCCGACCGAGGACATCGGAAAGTACTCTTGCGAAGGATATGAAGGAGCTGAAGGACGCGATTCTGCAGCAGAACGAGTACATCCAGCAACGCAGCCAGGCTCTGCGGTTCCTCATGCAGCCCCACTTGGCCCAGATCCAGCAGTCCCAGGAGGCAGCGGTCATGACGGCGATTCCGGGCACGCCGCGCCAGGCCGACAAGTGGGAGGTGATCGGTCAGCCAGCCTCCCAGTCGCCGGCGCCGGAGATGCCGATCGCCGCGGAGAAGGAGTCCTGAGAGGACCCGGCGGCTGCTGGACCGGCATCTGTGTCGCCGAGAAGGGTACGTGCTGCAGCATGAGCCGGTTTGTGAGTGAGGTTGGCTGCGAGTCTCTTTACCTTCAGCAGGCAGCTTCCCCGCTGAATGCGCCGGCGTCCGAGCTATTCTACTTCCCAAGGTGCAAGGAGGAGATATGGAAGAAGCATCGGGATATGGGACACTCATGGGTTCTTCTTGGCAAACAGGACGACCGGCTGCAGGCGCTTCCCAGCTCGGGAGATCCCTTGAGCTCTTTTCCTGTCGAGGGCGAGTGCCATTTAGTTGTCCGTCACGACGGCTGGGCCTCCGCCATCCAGGATGCAGAGTTTAACGATGACTACGAGACGACGATTTCGAGGCGACAACGCCGAGAAATGGAGAAAAGCCTCATGACTCTCCTCGCGACCGAGCCAGGAAAGAGCAGCAGAGGACAACAAGAGCCACCAGGACACCGTGCGCCTCCAGATGCTGAAGTTCGGGGAATCTCCACCCGCGCATGTCCGCCCGATTCGAGCGCTCCTTCAACCTCTGCTGCCTCTGCCTCGTTACAGGACTCGCCTCCTCTCCTCCCTTCCCTTCTCTCCCGTCGTGAGGTCGGTCGTAGGAGGAAGGAGGGAATGTCTCGAGGAGTGATGGACGTTTTCTCTCCACCAAGGATATGCCCGGTGGCACGCCAGCTGGGCGTCGCCGATCAAGGAAGTCTGGACCTTTCCACGGGCTGGGATTTTCAGCGATCCAGGGACCGTCTCCTGGCCCGCGAGCTCGTCCGTTCGAGGAGACCCGGGGTCCTTTTCCTGGAACCGCCCTGTCGAGTTTTCAGTGTGGCCTTCGAGATTTCAAAAAATGTGATGGACCCCGCTGTGCGAGCTCGGGCGGTAGTCCAGGGCATGATACTGCTTCGTTTCGCGGTGGAGCTTGCCGAGCTCCAAGTGTCCCTTGGAGGGGTCTTTGTTCTGGAACATCCCGAAGGGGCGTCTAGTTGTCTAGTTGGAAGTCGGCTCCCATGAAAAAGCTCTGGTCTCTTCCAGGGGTTCAGTCCGTTGTTTTTGACATGTGCCGCTTCGGACTATGCGTCGACAGCAGCGGCGAGCTTTCCAAAAAGCCGACTCGCATCATCAGTAACGACTCGGAGTTTGCGGCTTCTCTTTCGAGTTTTCGGTGCGAGGGAGACCACCCTCATCACGTCCTTCAGGGTTCAGCTCAGACTTCCAAGGCGCAGGTCTACCCCCCCAACCTCGTGCGCCACCTGGCCACTGTTACCAGAGGGGTGTTGGACAGGAGGGCCAGGATGGCTCGGACCTCGGACGTGATCAGATGGATTCGCAAGGAGCTTCCGTGTCAGGTCGAATCCAGTTCCACCCCTGTTCCGGACGTGTTGTGGTCTTGCTTTCCTTCCGTGGTCGACCCAGAGGGGGCTTTGGACGAGGGTCCCGACGAGGACGAGGCGACCCCAGGTCTCGATTCATCTGTCGGGCTCGGACGTTCGGATTCTCCCCCCCTGGAAATCGATGCCAGGCTGCGCAACTTGATACAGAAGGTTCATGTTAATCTCGGACACCCCGCTCGCCCCTTGTTCCTGCAGATTCTTCGCGGTGCCCATGCGAGGCCAGAGGTTTTACAGTGCGTGAAGAGAGAGTTTGCCTGTCCCGACTGCGAATCACACCCGCGCCCCGCCCGCCGGAGATATGTGGCGATGCCCCGCACGTACCAGTTTAACCGGGTCATAGCGGTGGACACTTTCCACATTAAATTCGGTGAAGCTCTGGTGTCCTTCCTCAATATGATCTGCCACGGTACGAATTACCAGGTGGTGGCCAGATATGAGGGAGGGGCTCGAGAAGCGTGGGGGTGTTTCGCATCGTCGTGGGTGCGTTATTTTGGCCCCCCGGAGCTCTTGATCTCCGACGGAGGACCCGAATTCCAGGGCGAGTCCTCTCGGGGAGCTGAGCAGCGCGGCACCTTTCAGCACATCACCAGTGCCGAGGCTCCGTGGGAGAACGGCCGATGTGAGAGACACGGAGGATGGGTCAAGGACTTGGCTCTCAGAGGTTCCGAGGGGGCCCCGGTGTCCAACGAGCGTGAGCTCGAGCTGCTGGTTTACGAAATCACAGCAGCTAAGAATTCCTATCTCCACCGTGGAGGGTTCTCCCCGAACCAGTTGGTGTTCGGCAAGAACCCCAGGGTTCCCCAGGACCTCCTTTCCGACGATCCGGTCAACCAAGTAGGACTGGACGACATGGCCGAGGGGGTTTGGGATCAGGACACCGCGGCCGCGGATTTTGCCCGGGCCATGGCCATCAGGAAGCGTGCCCGGACCCTGCTGTTCGAGGGCAGCTGCCGGGAGAAGGTTCACTCGGCCGCTCGAGCTCCCAGGCATCGGGATCAAAAGTATGCCCCAGGCGACTGGGTGTATGTGTGGAGACGGGCCCCAGCTCTGCAGCAGAAGAAAACCTACGCCCTGCAGAGGGACAGGTGGTGCGGCCCGGGCCTTGTCGTTTTCCAGTACGGGAACTCCGTTTGGGTCTCTATGAGATCCCGTCTTTGGAAATGTGCCACGGGGCAGCTTCGACATGCGTCCGGACCAGAGGCCCGCGGAGCCGAAATGCTTCAGGACACGGCCCTCCAGGAGTTGGTTCGTCAGGTCCAGTCCGGGTCCCAGAGAGCCGGGGTCGACGTGTCCAGGGAAGGTCGTCCACCGGACGAGGAAAGGCACGGTCCAGTGGTGAGTGATCGAGAAGGGATTCAGCCTCCGCTCCCTCCGGCGCCTGCGGCTCCGGATCCTGGCCAGCTGCCCCCAGCCCGTCGGGCGGCGGGCGAGCCAGGTGCTGAGGTGTCTCCGCCCGCTGTGCCTCCACCCGCGGTGCCGGCTCCCGCGGCTTCCTCGGGTGGGAGAGAGGATCGCTCGATGTCTCGCGAGGTCTCCTCTCGCACGGATCCCCCATCAGACAGATTGTCCGAGGGAGAGAACGAGTCGGCCGGCGAGGTCAGCGTCAGCAGCAAACGTAGAGGTCCTGAGCTTGCCCAGTCTAGTGTCGACGGGAGCATGCCAGGCATCTCTGAAGAGCTCTCGGCCCCATCCGGCTCGGCCTCCGCCTCCCCGGACCCTAGTTCAGTTGGTCCCGGGATTCAGTTGCGTCCCCCCTCGGAGATTCGACCAGGGGCGAACAGAGAGGGAGGGGGACAGCCCGACCCAGCTCGGCTGAGGGAGCTTGCTCTGATTCAGGCCAATCGCGTTCGGGACATGGGTGCTAGAGCGTGGGATCGCCCCCTTTTGTCCCGGGAGCAGTTTGACGCGGAGGTCAGATCCAGACCCGTCGACCTGGCCAGGTACGGAGATCGTCTTAACAGGTTGCCCCGTCCGATAGAGGATCTTCAGAGGGGGGACAGCTCCGTTCGAGGGAGGATAGCTGATTGGGAGTCGCTCAGAAGAAACTCGAGGAGCCCACCTCGGGGGGCTAGACAGGAGTCGGGTTCCGATCAGATGGACACTGCCGCCGCTCTTCTCTCTCTCAGCACTGATCAGGCTGGACAGTACTTTGCCTCGGTCTGCGAGGGTTTAACGGAACAAGGTTGGTCCGGCGACTGGACCAATTTTGTGAACGGCAACGCCGACGTAGAGTTGATTCCGGGGGAGTCTGGATCGTCTTCCGAGGGGACTCTCTCTTTTGCCACGTCCAGAGGAGGCGAGATCTCCGTTTCCAAGCTCGATGCCGAGGGTAGACAGGCCTTCCGAGATTCGGATGCCAAGGAGTGGTCCAATATCCTGGGAACGGGGGCGGTGCATGTCCATCCTCCTGCGGAGGGAAAGTGTCTCAGGGCCCTGTATCCCTACCGAGTGGTCTCGTCCAGGATGGTCAGAAGGTGGAAGCCTCAGGAGGGCTGCTACAGCAAGCCACTGGCCAAGAGCCGGCGGTGCGTGCGAGGCCACGAGGACGAGGACACTCAGGAGTTGAGAGTTTACGCTCCGACACCTCAGATGGAGTCTCTGATGCTGTTTCTCACGACGGCCCTCGCCCTGGGGATGACCTTGACCATCGGGGACCTCAAGAACGCCTTCTGTCAGTCGGATCCTCTTCGGAGGAGCCGCGGGAGGGTGTTCGTGGAGCCCTGCGAGGGTCTGGGCCTTGACGCTGGCAGTTTGATCGAATTGATCGCTCCAGTCTACGGACTGGACGACGCTCCGTTGGCCCTCCATCGTGCGACTGTTCGTGTCTTTGAATATTTGGGATGCGTTCGTTCGAAGTTGGAGCCGCGTTGGATGGTCCGCAGGGGTCCTAAAGGTCCGGACGCCATGGTTTTGATTGAAGTGGACGACTGGGCCATCGGTTTGGCGGAAAGGGTTCGTGAGGAGCAGATTAAGGCGTTTGCCGATCGGTTCGTTTTCGGAAAGCTTAGGCCTGTGGACTCTGAGGGGGTGGAGTATATTGGGAGGCGGGTTCGACGTCTACATGACCGCATTCTAGTTGATCAACAGAAATACATCCTCGAGAATCTTCAGCGCCTTTATATATCCCGGGATCGACGAGGTAGGCATGATCAGCCCTTGTTGGGCCGCGAGAAAATCGAGTTCAGGTCGCTCATTTACCGACTCAATTGGGTCGGCCGAGAGACTCGGGCAGAGGCTTGCGGTACCGCGTCCATCCTGGCGTCTCGAGTGGAGTCTCCGACGGTGGGCGACGCTCTGCTGGCCAACAAAATGGTAGATCATCTTCGGCAGACAGCAGCTATCCCCATAACTATGTGGAAATTTCGCCCCGACGACCTAATCTTTGTCACTTCCTCGGACGCCGGAGGGGTTGCCACCAACGACTCCTATAAGGCCCAGCTAGCTTGGCAGTAATACGCAGCAGATCGTTCTTTGTCCACAGGATTCAGGGCACGAGTGTCTCCTCTAGCTTGGCGATCTCATCGTGCTAAGCGAGCCGTCCCCTCTACCCTGGCCGGCGAGGTTCAATCTCTTTCCGGGGCTTTGGCAGAGG